CATGGGTTATGCATATATGCATATAAGTTCTTTGGTTGTTCTCTTCCCATCCACCCACCCACCCCCACCTTCCCTGTGAGATCCATCAGTCTGTTCCATGCTTCTGTGTCTCTGGATCTATTTAATTCATTAGTTTATTTTGTTTTTTAGATTCCACATATGAGTGAGATCATGTGATAGTTGTCTTTCTCTTGCTGGCTTATTTCACTCAGCATAATACTCTACAGGTTCCTTCATGCTGTCTCAAAGGGTAAGAGATCCTTCTTTTTTACTGCTGCATAGTATTCCATGGTATACATGCATCACAGCTTTTAATATAAGCACTTAGTGCTATAAATTCTTCTCCTAGCACTGTTTAGTTCTATCCCAATTTCACTCAGCAGCCTCCATGCTCACTAAGCCCACAGAAAATCAGGAGACTGCCTCGGGTCCATCTGCCCACCCTTGTTAGGGCTGGGAACACCAGGGTCTTACGGTTTGTATACCTTTTGAGGAAAAGAAGTATGCAACTACTTTGTCTAAAGCTACCTGTGGTTTCTGTTATTTCCACCCACCCCTTGGGACTGGGACTGGATGGGGAAAGGAACAAGGATCCTTCACATATAGGCTAAGTTATCTAAGGTCTCTTTGCTTCCCCTTTGATTCTCTTTTTTGCTGCCCAGAGTATTCTTACAATATTTGGTTGGGGACAGCGCTGGGAAAGTGATCTTGCTGCTACTTATCATTAATCCTCTCAGGGAAAAAAAATTATTCTCTCTCTCTCTCTCTCTCTCTCTCTCTCTCTCTCTCTCTCTCTCACACACACACACACACACACACACACACACACACACACACACGGAATAGTTTTGGGTGCACTCTGAGAATCCTCCTGTTCTTCCAGAGGCTGAGATCTAATGTTCTGTAAACACCCTAACTTCTAAGTATACTGGAAGAATTGCTGGTGGTTAAGTGTCAGTCACTAATTCAGAGAAGTGGCTCAAGTCTCAACCATCACTCCTTGATGCCAACTCCTACCCCTGCCCTGCCAACCCAAACAATATAATAATATTGACAAAGAGGAGGGTAAGTCACCTCTAAAATTAACAGTTATAGGGAAAATTATCTCTATTATTGCATCTTCTGTCCTTTGGGGAGAAAACAGGTTTTTTATTTTCCTCCCTCTATTAATTGGCTAGGGCTGTTGTAACAAAGTACCTCAAAACTGGGTGGCTTAACAATAGGCATTGGTCATTTCACAGTTCTGGAGCTTAGAAGGCTGATATCAAGGTGTTGCGGGGCTGGTTCCTTCTGAGGACTCGGAGGGGGAATCAGTTCTAGGCCTCCTTTGTTGGTTTGCCGATGGCCCTCTTGTTCCTGTTTCTGTTCATATCATCTTCCCTCTGTGTGTCTGTCTCTATAAATTCCTAAAAATTTTCCCCTTTTATAAGGACATCTATCACATTGGATTAGGGTCACCTAATCCTAATGACCTCATTTTAAATTAATTTCCTCTGTAAAAACTCTATCTCCATATAAGGTTACATTCGAAAATACTGATTAAGACTCCAACATTTTTTGAAGGGGAAATAAAATTCAGCCCATAACACCCCTATAGCCAAGCAATTGGCATAAAAGGGAGACTAGCATTTTGTTCCATAATTAGGTGCCTGCTTTGTCAATGGACTTGCCAGTCTTCCCTATGCTACTTGAGCAGAGAAGAGAAATATAGAGGAGCCCCCACACCCCACTCCAACTCTACCTGCCTGGCCCCCAGCAGCTCTGAGTTTTCAAGAGGAATGTTAGTTGTCAGACTGGTTCTGTATATGACCTCAAGCCCTAGTAGTTGGTATGTAAATGAAAAGGGAGGACACAATATCACCATCTGCCACAATGTGGAAAAAAAAGGTACATGTTGTTGAGAAATGGAGCCTTTTGTTTTCAACTGGGGGTGATCTGGTAGATGCAGCTAGATATCAGGGACTCCCAATCCCCAAGGGAGCACAAGGTCTGTTAGAGCACCTATGACCCACAGAGATAACCAGAATAGCAATCATTTACCAAGAACAGCATCGCAGCCTTGCCAAGTCTATAAGGCAAGAACGCCTCCATCCCACCATTCGTCCATGGTTCCCCACCTCCTGGGTGAAAGGACAGGTAGACAGAGGAGCAGTATGAGAGCCAACTGTGCCCCACCGTTCACTCTAGACTCCAGGGTCTGGCTAATCGTATCTTAATTTGGTTATGGCATGGAAGTTTTTATAAATAGAACCGAATCTGTTAAATCAAACAGTTCCTCTGAAAATACAAAATTGAGAAGATCTGGGCAGAAAAGGTGGTAAGGAAGCCGCTACCCAGCAGGAAAACAGACATGTGATAGATCAAAATTGAGGAAAGTGCCTGAAAAAATAAAACCATGTCATGCTTGCTTCTCATTGAGTTGAGACTCTAAACACAGATAACATGCACAGGCACACATAGCAACACTAAGGTATAATCCACTTAAGTTGCTGCTGTTTCACTTAGCATGATATCATGGACAGTTTCCCCTGTCATTAGGTATTCCTCAGAAAGATAATTTTTTTTAATACGTTTTTATTGATTTTCAGAGAGAGGAAAGGAGAGGGAGGTAGAGAGAGATAAAGACATCAATGATGAGAGAGAATCATCGATCGGCTGCCTCCTGCAGGCCCCTTACTGGGGATTGCGCCCATAACTCAGACATGTCCCCTGACCAGTAATTGAATTATGACCTCCTGGTTCATGGGACAATGCTCAACCATAAAGGTACACCGGCTGGGCCAGAAAGATAAATTTAATGACTATGGTTTCTGTCATCATTTTATAAGTGTACTATTAGGTGTTTAATCTTCCTCCTATTGGATATTCAGGACACATTTAATATACTGGAATCAATATATGAAAATTGTCCTTTATGCCCAATATATAAACTTGAAAATCTGTCTCATTTTCTTATCCATTTTTCTATATATTAATACTAGTATACTGTGTTATTCTAGAAGATGATCTATGTTTTACTTATAGAATACATTCATAATTATTTGTATATATCTTTGCTAAACTTATTTTATGTCAGCCATCTAATTTCACTAGCATGGGAGAATAAGAGAGAAATTAATGAATTGAGATTTACATGTCTGTTTTCAAGTCCCATCAAAGTGAAAGAGTTTGCTATGCAAGCAACCATTCATGACCACAACATATGATAGCACACAGGTCTAAATTTAACCTGAGTGTTACTGCATGGCAGGAAACAGCAGGAAAATAGTGATGAAGAATAATCACCTCTCTATTAATTAACTATGGTTGGAACTCTACTAGTAGATCTACCATTTCCATGCCATATGAACTTGGACAGGTGTTTTTATCCCTCTGTGTCTCCATTCTTACTCTGTAAATAGTGAATAATCATAGTACCTACCTCAGGGTTGATGAGAGGATTAAATGAGAAAACTCCTATAAGCTTCTTAGGACCAGAATATGGCCCTTAGAAAATGCTCAGGTAATGTTAGCTACTAATATTACTTATCAGAAGCTATAGATTAACCTCATTTTAGGCATGGATATTTGGATGTAATTCAAACCTTTACTTGAAGTTATTTGTTCCTTGATTTAGATATAAAACAGAAATCAGTCTTAACCTAACACCAACTATATTTTTAATATGTAAATTAATTTTTTGATATGTAAAGTACAGATACATTAATGTTGCCTGTCAATATTTATACTGATAATAATTATAATTATACATAAACACAAAATGAAAAAAAATAATTTCCCTAATAAGCGTGCATCCTATAAGTTCCTGTGAGTCTTTCACCACATGACCAGCATCAACTGGGGAAATTATATACTGAAATTAAATTGCTATAAAATAGGTTAATCTGAAATATAAAAAAAATATGTATCTACAGCACACATACAAACAATTTACCCTGGAGTTTCATAAGGATCATGTCATAACTTACAAAACCAAGAACTATGGAACAGCCCCGTGTGAAATTCCAACATCATCTCCCTTCAGGTCTGCCTGTCACCAGAGCAGACTCGGGCTAGAGTGGAATTTGGAGCTCTTCCCCCACAGGCAGAAGGAGGCTTGTCTTGGCCTCCCTCCGGGGGAAACCTGGGTAGGAGGTTCACTTTTTGTAGAATCTTCACCCTGGATAACACGTCTTTACTTATGTCACAGTGAAGACATGCCATCCCAGCAATGTGGAGGCGGAGGAAGCTCTGCCCAAGGATAGGATAAAAGATTTTAAAGTCTGTTTAGAATTCAGGGCAGATGCAGGAATGCAAAAATCCCTCAGCTTCTGCCTGTACCCAGCCCACGGGAAGGGTGAGAGGCAAGAGGCAGGGAAGTGCTGCGGTGGTGCGATCTCAGAGGTACGCCTGGCTGGCTTTGGCAATGCCTGTTCCTATTGTTAGAACACCCCCACCCCCACCCCCCACACGAAAGCGCTGTGGCTGGCAACTCTCTAAAAGAATGTAACGAGTCTACCACACAAGATTAATGCTCCTTTCCTGCATCGTGGGGTGTTATAAATAGGGCTGCAGCTTTTTATACACTATCAAGTAGTATGCTACCCAATAGAAAACAGGCAGAGGGAACCCAACATAGCCTAATTTTACAGAGAGCAAAAAATTGACGTCACGGATCCATTTTAAACACATTTTAAAATACTTTAAGAAATGCGCACACGCTCTGGGGGTACGGAACCAAGCCAACGGCCCAGTGCGCAAATTTTGTGTGTGTGTGTGTGTGTGTGTGTGTATATATATATATATATATGCATTTGTGTCTAAAATAATATGTATGTGATAATCATAAATATATACTGAGAAGTAACAAACTGCTCTTGGATTTTGCCTGTAGGGAAAAGAATACATATTATTATGGGGGTAGCTTTAAGGTGAAAGATACGTCTTGCTCTAAAGCCGTCATTTTCTAGAACAGAAGCTTTCCTCCCGGTGTAATCAGAGCCCGCGGCCCTCCTGCCTACCTGTGCTGGTGGCGCTGGGGCTGGCCAGCAGCGGCCCCGCACCCTGAGCCGGGGGCTGAGGCTGCCCATCGCTCAGCTGCTTGACGCGCTTGCGGTGGGATTTGCCGTTGTAATGGACCTGGGCTTGGGCGGCAGAGTTCAGCTGGATGTTGCACACCTCACAGAAGGAGAACAGGATTTTCTTTTTCTCTTTACCGAACTGGTCCTCAGGCCGGTCGTTTTTTATCCTCTTGTCTTCAAAGCCCCGCAGAAAAGTTGCCATATTCATAATTCCATCTTCAGGGTAGTTGTCAGGGCTTAAGTAGTACTTCATACCTGAAAAAAAAAAAGAGGTATCACTGCTTGTGAAATATGTGCCTTCTTGTTTTTCAGTATGATTGCAATTAATGTTCACTGTATGGCTGAAGCTAAAAGTCTCCCAGCTACACAGTGGTCACTCTTGGAAAAAATTATCAAGAGAACGTAACTGAGCAAATAAGGCCTTTGAACATGAGCGCCCTCTATCTGGCGCACTTTCAACTCCATCTTTACCCCTCCCCCCGTCACTTCTCAAGGCCCTTTCTCTCTTAAGTCCTGAGATCTTAGCTGGAGCAGCACCCTCTCCAGGAAACCAGCCTGAGCCTGGAGACAAGGCAGATCTCTGGTTCCATGCGTGAATAGTGCCGTGTGGCCTCCCTTCATAGCATCTATTACCAGTGCATTTTATATGTGATTGTGCAATTATCTGGTTTATGTCTATTCTCCAATAGAGTGTCAATTCTCTGAGAGCCGTAACCTCATTTCTGGATATCCCTTAGGCCTAAAACAGACCTTTTACGTAATAGGAATTCAAACAATCTATTGAAGAAAGGAAGGAATAAATGGTGTTATGAACCCAGAACTGTGAAAGGTGTACATAACAGACACGCCGGTGCACACCTGCAAACAGACACACGCCCTGACCAGTGGAGGAGGCAAGTAACAAAGACTAAAACACAGTATGTCTGCAACCTTCTATTTGGTTGTGTTCCAAAAGCCAGAGGGAATTTGAACACATTTTCCTCTAGATGTAGTGAAACAAATTGTATTTAGGTTTCCAGAATAGCCCATAAATATCAACTTAACCTTTTATGAGGTTGAAATGCACAACACATCCTAAATATAAAGTAACAGAAATGCAATATATGGTAAAGTAATAATTGAAAAGGAGTAAAACAGATTAAGACATAATTTCTTTACGTTTAAGTGCTTATGTTTTTCATTTATTTAGTTAAGGATATAGTGATAGATTATAACTTAGGTGAAGATTTTAAAGGAGACTTTTCAGTACCTCAAGAACCTTAGCTGATGAAGACAGCCTTGACTTTGTATCTTGTTCAGTTCTACTGTAACATATATAATTTCTTCATTTTAGCAATACCAGGATTACCAGGATTTTCATACTTAGTTCAATTATTGCCAGGTTTTTGGTTGTCAATTAGAATAAAGAAAATGACACTCTCATAGAAGAAAGAGGAGTACAAGAGTCTAGGAATACCAGTCAAAACGTAAGGAAAAGGGGGGATGCAAGAGAAAGAATTGGCTGAGGTGGACAGTACTGTGCCATGAAGGGTTTAGATAAACAAAGGGTCATGGCTTGTGAAGGATTTCTGCCTATGGGAAAAACACAGGAGGTTGAAAAATACTGGCTTTGAGAAGTTGTGTTGATCCAAGTTGGCATAGAGCTCTATGGGAAGGAAGGAGCAAGTAGAGACTAGTTCATATTTGGAGTGTTCACCCGTTGAAAATGAGTTATAGCACAGGGTATGACCATGAAGATATATATTGATTATATTCATACAGCATGCCATAAAGAACCCCTCATTTACACTCATACACCCTATAGCAAAGTGCCCTAATGCATTATAGCACAGGCTAAATCATAATCCTCAGAGAATTGTTAGAAAGTTCCTCATTTTGATGTGTAAAGCCTATCTGTCCCATGGACACTTTACTCTGATGCCACCATTTTAAGGAACTCTGCTTTACAAAGTTTTCCAAATAAAATCTATCCCTGTTAGCTCTCCACAAAGGCAGTTATCCTCCTTAAAATCTACTCAAACTATACATAAATCAGGCTTAAGCAATTCCGGTAGCTGAGATTTAAAAGAAATGTTATTTAAACTGTACATATATCAATATATTTTTCTTTTATTCCCTAAACCCAATGGGGTCAGAAAACCATTTTTCTCATAAAACTTTATAAAATATCTGTACCACAAGAACAGGCATATAGATCAATGGAATAGAATAGAGATCCCAGAAATCGACCCGAACCACTATGCCCAATTAATATTCGACAAAGGAGGCAAGAGCATACAATGGAGTCAAGACAGTCTCTTCAATAAATGATGTTGGGAAAATTGGACAGATACATGCAAAAAGATGAAACTAGACCACCAACTCACACCATACACAAAAATAAACTCAAATGGATAAAAGACTTAAACGTAAGATGGGAAACCATAAAAATACTAGAGGAATCCACAGGCAGCGAAATTGCAAACATATGCCGAAGGAATTTCTTCTCTGATACTGCTCCTAGGGCAATGGAAACTAAAGAGAAAATAAACAAATGGGACTACATCAAAATAAAAAGCTTTTGCACAGCAAAGGAAACCATCAACAAAACAACAAGAAGACCCACTACATGGGAGAACATATTTGCCAATGATACCACCAATAAGGGTTTAATTTCCAGCATTTACAGGGATCTCATGCAACTTAACAATAGGAAGATAAACAATCCAATCAAAAAATGGGCAACGGACCTAGATAGACACTTTTCAAAAGAGGACATACAGAGGGCCGAAAGACATATGAAAACATGGTCAAAGTTACTAATTATATGAGAGATGCAAATCAAAACAACAATGCGGTATCATATCACACCTGTGAGAATGGCTATCATCAACAAATCAACAAACAACAAGTGCTGGAGAGGATGTGGAGAAAAAGGAACCCTCATGCACTGCTGGTGGGAATGCAGACTGGTGCAGCCACTGTGGAGAACAGTATGGAGCTACCTCAGAAGACTAAAAATGGAACTCCCATTTGACCCAGTGATCCCACTACTAGGAATATATCCCAAGAAACCAGAAACACCAATCAGAAAGGATATAAACACCCCTATGTTCATAGCAGCACAATCCACCATAGCTAAGATTTGGAAACAACCTAAGTGCCCATCAGCAGATGAGTGGACTAAAAAACTATGGTACATCTACATAATGGAATACTACGCTGCGGTAAAAAAGAAGGAACTCTTGCCATTTGCAACAGCATGGATGGAACTGGAGAGCATTATACTAAGTGAAATAAGCCAGCCAGAGAAAGATAAGTACCACATGATCTCACTCATTTGTGGAATATAGAGAACAACATAGACTGATGAACAGGGACAGATCCAAAGACAGAGAAACAGCGATCAGACTATCAATCTCCTGAGGGAAAGTAAGGGAGGGTGGGGGTAAGGGGAAGAGATCAACCAAAGGACTTGTATGCGTGCATATAAGCCAAACCAATGGACATGGACAACAGGGGGATGAGAGCATGAGTGGGGGGAAGGGGGAGCTTGGGGGTTAATTGGGGGGGATGAGGACACACTTGTAATACCTTAACCAATAAAGAAATTAAAGATAAAAAAAGAAAAAGAAAATATCTGTGCCATATAAAAGTTATGTTCTATTACTTTATGTTCTCTCTTAAAATACTAAAATGTATCTTAAGAATTAACTGAACTAATTGATAAAGAGATAATTTTTAAAAAGAGTTCATCATTAATATATCATTCCTTGTCTAGAAAAACCACTCCATTGTAAAACATAAGGAAAACAAACAACTTTTAACGTGGCAAGGCCAGGTTAGACACCCTCTCATTGAATCACTGAAGTCTGAGTGCTACATTTCAGCTCAAGCAGCCAAGATCCTTGACTCAGCTGAGGACTAATGACATTTTAGTCTTAATATTTAACATTTTTTAACATGGCTGGCCTTTCCCAGTGCTAATTAACACACTGTAGTTCACAAGAACATGACATACCTTCATGACTTTTAAATTTGAAATCTAAAAAAAAAAAAAGACTTTGTATTATCTTATAAAAGATAAAACCTGTTTATTTACCTGTGCTTTTCTGATTGCTATTTGTCCTAGAAAAAGTCATGCTTTGGATTTATTTAAATATATATTTATTTTAAGTAGTTAGAACGTTTTAAAATGAAATGAGGCATTGTAGGAAAGAAGTCTTGCCTGGGAGGTGGGGAATGTGTGTTCTGTCCACCAAGCCCCAATTTATTAATCCTAGTTGGCCAAGATAAAAACACACAGAGAAGGAAGGTAAAAGTTGACTTCTTGGGGATCAGGCTAGAAACAACCACCTTTCCTCAAATACAATTTTTGGGAAAATTAAGACGTCAGTAGAATGTTCATTTATGGTATGTTTCAATATTTATGTTATAATCGAATTCATATATGGGAACTACAGTGGCTAAAAAAATTAATAAAATAAAGAATCTTAAAAAATAAAGAGCTTAAAATAAACCAGAGGAAGCAACATTGCTGCTTCTTGCTCAGGAGAGTGACTCCGGAGAATTCTTTGCTTACCAGCCCACAGGGTACTCTGAGCACACTTCTACAGCGTTTTAACTTCATTGTATTGGGCTGAAAATATTGCTTAGTGCTTGATTTCAGTAGGCAGTTCATCTATCTGAGATTTTTTTTCTGATGGCCTACTGACACCTTATTGAATTATATCTAGTAAAATAGATCTTAATGGGGTGCTCTGGCCTAAAGTGACTCCCAAGAGATTTTGACACTAATTGCTGAATAAGAGAAACTGACGTTTTAATGTTTCTAGCAGTTTGTTTCCCTTGAGGAAAAGATTTAAATTCAGCTTTAGGGGCACACTGCTCTTTTGTTTTGGGGAAAACCTCTTAAAGGATCATCCAGTTAACTGGAGATATGAAGGTAAACCATAGACTCTGGAGCTAATATGGTCCGTGGAGCTTAATCTGCTTTTCATAATTATATAAAAAGTTGTTTTCACTGCAGCACAGTATCATCTCTGCAAATTATATGCTCTTTCACACATTTTTTCCTTCTGTAAGTCAATTTAAATTGTATTGTCCATAAAAGTTTTTGTTAGCTACTGGGAGATGTGTTTTCTTGTTCAAGCACTTCACCAGAAGAGATGGGTGGGGCCTGGAGTCCAGTAAGCACATAAATGCCTCTTACCTTAAAAAGAAGAACAACCTGAGATTGCTGATGGTCAAACTGGACTACACCTTTTAAGCCCCAT